CCCCCTGGAATACCTCTCTTCCCTTCCCATATCGTCTTCTATCTCTTCGGCACTCACCAGCAGCGACAAAGCTTTTGACGCGACAGTGCTCGCCCACTGTCTATGGTACTTCCCCACCCCCTCGCTCATCCTCTCCACCTTCCGTGCCATCAGACAGCACAGCAAGCGTCTTCTCCTTTCTGAATGGTCTTTGATAGCGACACATCCATCTGCTCAGCCTCATGTACTAGCAGCACTTACGCAGGCAGCGCTGGAGTGCCGTAAAGGCAACAGCATCTCGAATGTTCGCACTGTCTTGGGCCCAAAACGACTCATCGAGCTGGCTTTAGCGGCCGGGTGGCAGCTGGAGAACGAGACGCGCGTGCAGAGTGACGAGGGACTGATGGATGGACAATGGGAAGTCTCCGCTTGCCTCTCTCCCTCTTTTGAGAGAGAGATAGAGGTGAATGTGAAGGATGAGAGGGAACGGGGAGTTATTTTTGCGTTGCGAGATGTATGTGAGGCAAGCCTAGAAGGCATCCAGGGGGGCAGAATGGGAGTCAGGGCGATGGATGTCTGGGTTGCCAGCTTTGTTTGATCTAGCAAGTTGAGCACACGGTCGGGGGACCAAGTTAAATCCCATTACCATTTACCGCCTACTCTACATGACGATTCTAGTGATACATGTACCTTCACGCACAAGAAATAGATTAGAGGATACCTGGAAAACACATGAAGCTAGTAACGACGGACAGATGGAGTCAAACTTTGTGTGCGCTGCCAAGACGTGCCTTGTAGTTATACGCTGGCTCTAGCAGACTCAGCGGCCTTGCGAGAATCTCGCATGACAGACTCAAGGTTCTTTCGCATGATTCGCAGTGTCTACGATTGGTATGAGCTTGGTCTCTCGCTGAAAATAATGGACCACTTACCCGTTTGCATCGCTGCCGAAACGGACCCCGCGGCATCTCTTTGATCTCTTTGGCCTTCATCTCCAGCCACTCTTCTGGAGTACCCGCAGTGAGGTAGTAGTTGAGTTGTTCGGAGAATACGTCTGCATCGTAATCTTCGGTTGTGCTGAAGAAGTCGTAGCCTAGAACTTTGACATCCATGTTGGCCTCGCGAATCATCAAGAATACTGGTTTGATGGTTTCGAGAGCCTGGAAGAGGGCCAGATTCCATTGCATATCTGACTCCAGATATATCTCAACACTGAGTTCTTGACGATCTCTCAGCATCAGCAGACTCTTCGTGTTGTCGTACAATGCCCTGCATGCTATCCATTTTCCTGAATAGATATTACCATAGTCCTCATCGATCGTGATGACGAGACGTCGTATAGCATCCTTGAACGAGAATGCCATGGAACCAAAGCGGTCGCGTTCAAGGTAGGCGCGGACATAGCGATAGTCAAGCTCAACGTTTGAAAGGTCCTTGAAGTACGTGGTTGCAGCTTCAGATGCGAACTCCTCGCCCACCAACGCGGCGTTTGCGAAACGTGGCACAGGGAGATATTGTACTCCTGTGCCAGCTTCGTCGGCGGAATGATATTTGGGGACAAATGAGATAGCGTCGTTTAGGCTTCTGATGTGCTCTTCTGTCCACTGATAGTTGTATATCTGGTCTCGCAGTTCGCGAGGGAGCTTCTGGAGGATGATTGCCGTGAATGATTGGCATAGCTGCAGATCTGCGCAGGCCGCAGCGACCTGATAGATAGGGCGCTCGACGGCCTCTCTTTCTCTCATGAGATGACATAGCTCGGGATCGCGCTCAAAAAAATACTTGATCTTCTCACGTCTAAGTGCTGCTTCCTGCACGGCAAGGCGCTCTTCTCGCAGTTCAAGCCCATCATATCCTGGTACGTCGGTGTGCATGAACCAATCCCAATCGTCGGTTCCGTTTACAGATCGCATGATCTGGTCCTGCCTCGTTTGGACATTTTTCTGGATTTTGTTGTAGCTTGGAACGAGTTTCTTGCCTTGATCGTAGAGACCAAGAACACGAGAACGATCTCCAGCATTCAGACCCCAGAGCCGATGGTCAATGGCTGGGTCTGATAGCCTAGGAAGTTTTAGCAAGACGAGACGGACGTATAGAGCCGAGCAGCATCGTACGCAGGCGGTTGTCTCGCTGCTGTCGAGTCGGACCGATGTGGCACCAAAGTCGCCTTGAACTCCATCTCGTGGCCAGACATGTCGCTCGCAAGAGTGCTACAGAAAGAGGATGAAATTGAAGGATGAAATTGAAGGATGAGCCTCAGGCACGTCGCATAGCGCATGGATCCCGTCAACGATATCCCATGAAGTATGAACATGTCAGGATCCTCGGTGTTGCGACAGCGGTTTCCTGCTGCATTCCGGCTAGTCCCGAAGGAGGCTTACAGCGCCTACGTCATTCACGAGTTGGAGACAGGCACGACTCCACTAAATCCTCATGCAACCAGCCTCGAGCAGGATTCTTGTGAGCCCGCACCGAAAATGCGCCGTTGCATCCATGAATGGTCTGACCTTGTTCATCCGCGCGCAAAGGGCTGGCCTAACCACCGCGCATCGCACTACACCGTTGACAACGTCCCAACCATCATCGGACGCTACCAAGACGGAACCAGCATAGCTACGCTTGCCTATAGTGGACCTCCCGCAGCCATCGCGTGAGCGCGCCTGCCTTTGCGACAACGACTCTGGACCACGACATGGCGCAACAATTCCTCGCTGACCGCAATGGCTGGCTGTCGTTCCGGAGCAGCACGCCCGTGCTGTACATCACAGCCGAAGACGCCGAGTTCGACATCGAGACTATGAAGGCGTGGCGCGACGAGGGCTTCATTGTCGAATACATCCCTATGGGCAAAGGTGGCAAGCAATACGTGCAGACGCTTCACAAGCTGGGGGACAAGATGGGCATTGGGGAACGCTACGCAATCGTGGGTATACAGCCCTTTCACACTCTGGCGCATGTCACGAGTATACGTGCTCTGCGCCAGCACCCTCCGACTCATGTACTGACCATGGCTCTGTAGCATTCGGTGACGCTGCAGCCGTATGTCTAGACGTCTACTCGGAACCCAAAACCGCCACCTCGAAACTCTGCTCCCTCATCGCCTACTATCCGTCCTCCATTCCCGATACACGTCACCGCTTCACATCGTCCTTTCGCGTGCTCGTACATCTAGCCGAGGGCACATCCGGAAACGACATCACCGTTGGTGTGACGCGTCGCCCCGAAGTTCTTGGCATACAAGGCAAGCGACGGACGGTGCAGAAGCGCGTCACGCACGGTATTGGCGCGGGAGGCTTACAGGACAAGATACTGTATCCGTGCTTCACATACGAGGGCGTTGATGCAGGCTTTGCAGAGCACGATCTAGATGAATACGACGCCGTGGCCGACGCTATCGCATGGAGCAGGAGTTTGAGCACTGTTCGAAAGGGCTTCAGCGCCGAGGTAGATCTGGAGCGGGTATGGGAGGAAAACGAAGAGCGTATGCATGGCGACCAATCGTATCTATTGTAAAAGCTAACACTCAACAGAAAAGTACCGCGGAAAATCGCTCGATAAGATCCTCGAAACCTATACCAAAACCCCGACACCATACGTCAACTTTACTCCGACTATGACCGGGGCAAGCGGCCATCCAGATCTCAAGCGCTTCTACCGCGACTACTTTCTCAAAACGGCCCCACCATCAATGCACATGCGGCTCATCTCGCGCACAATAGGCGTCGATCGAATAGTAGACGAACTTTACATCCAGTTCAAACACACATGCCAGATGCCCTGGATTCTTCCTGGCGTTGCACCAACAAACCAGAAAGTCGAGATAGTCGTGGTGAGCATCGTGGGATTCAGAGCTGGAAAGATATGGTGCGAGAGGTTTTACTGGGACCAGGCTTCTGTGCTTTTCCAGGTCGGCCTCATGGATCCTGAAGAGGTGCCTAAGGAGTTCAAGAAGAAGGATGACAATGAAGATGGTGGGCTCGAGATGCTACCAGTTAGTGGAAGTGAGGCAGCGAGGAAGGTTATGGATGTGGAGAGTGAAGAATTTAATGACATGATTGATGACTGGTGAGAATAACGGACATCGCGGTGTAGTTTTGGTAAGTCAATGTTGGCCGTTCTGGCTTGACCAACTCTACATTATATTTGAATAATAAACAGCATGATCAAGAATGGCTCTCCATGAACTCCCATCAACCTCGTCTTCATTGTAAGGCTACAGACAATGAAACGCGCAGCCGATATATACCCTTGCGTACGCTTTCAAGATTCTGAAAAATTGCATCATCCGATACGGCTTTATTCTCCCTTGCACTCTTCAGCCCTGACTACCCGTTAGCACTCAGCGCTTCACACGACCAAGCTGATCTCACCTTCCACAAGATGGCCCTAGTAGAACTCATAGACAGAATCATACAAGCCGTTAAGCCCTGCGTTTCTAAACCGCTGAGGTATATAGGCATTCGATGGTGGCTCGCGGATCCTATGTACACCGTCACGTATCGAGTATGTAGGCCGGTGTGGTACGTCAAAGTCGTCGTCGTACGCCTCATACGCGTCATCTTGTTCATCGTATGTACGCTGGAGGAGCTGTGCATACTCTCGATCCTGATCTTCTTGGCGTCTTCGATGGACACGAGAAGGTGTTGCTCGGTCTAGTAGTGCTTGCCAATGGCTGCGGGATGAATGGCGGTCTCGTCCGTCCGTAAGTCGTTGCATATCAGTACGGCTGATTGGTTCGCGAGTGGACTGGTGAGTGTCGCCTCTATGGTTTCCCGCTCGGTGTGCTTCATCAGTGGTCCTACGCGTTCGTTGAGCCTGTGGATGATGTTCTGGGTTTCGCTGCAAGCGCTTTCTAGGACGTGTATTGGCGGACGGGTCATCTGCACCATTCCGTCGAAGCAGACCTAGCTTGACCCCAGCCTGTCCGGGTAGTCGCAGTAGAGAGGCTACAAGACGTTCCGATCGAGACACCAGCCACCTCATGCGCTGATTCACTAGCACGTCCCAATCGGATTGACGGGCTATAACGCGCATAACCTCAGAGGGTACTTGCACTGGTCGCTGCTGGGGTTGTTGGACCGATCGCTGCTGGGGTTCCTGACTCCATCGAACCATGTTGTCTTCTTGAAGGAAGTCTGTCGGTACTTGGACCGGCCGCTGCTGGGGTTCTTGGCTCCACCGAACCATGTTGTCTTCTTGAAGGAAGTCTGTCGGTACTTGGACCGGCCGCTGCTGGGGTTCTTGGCTCCATCGAACCATATTGTCCTCTCGAATGAAGTCTGCTAGTACTTCCATTGGTAGCTGTGGAATCTCTTGGCTTGTTGTCATCACAGGCTCTGCTCGCGCAACAGTCGTAGTTACTTCGACTGGTGGAGGCTGAACCTCTTCGCTTGTTGGGACTGCGGTCCCTTCTCCATGTAGAGGCGCGCGGCAATTAGGACACAAACCATTACCACTTTCGATCCAACGTCTTACGCAGTTTTCGCCGAAGATATGACGGCATTCGAAAATTATAGGACGGTGATTGGCGTCGTATCCTTCCATGCATATGGCACATTCGAGAGACTCGAGGGAAGAGAGGAAGGCCTGTGCATCTGTTGGTTGCGTCATGGTGTTGGTTGAGATCACATGCAAGAGCAATGAGTGCTGGCTGGTTGCACCCAACTGTGGGGGCGAGAGAAACGCTTGGAGGCTCGACTCTAAGTACAGCTGAGTAGCTGGGAGCTGCAGTCTCCCTCGTGCACGACCTCTTTGGCGTAGACTTTCACTCAGCCCTGAATCACATCATGAGCCAAACTATTTTCACTGGGACTGGCGCAAGCAGTACAACCCTTGAAGCAGTCACGATAGATTAAAAGATGAGATGAATGTTGACAAACGGGTCTTCTCGAAGATCGCGAAAGGCAAGCAGAGTGATATATTTGTATACATTTGTGCTGAAAGAAAACTAAGAAACAGCATATCGTGGGGCGTGATGGTGATTTAAGGAATGCATCCGAGGCTATCTGGCTCGTAAGACCAGGGAAAGCTCGTGCAGCGTTAAAATGAAATGACCTAAGAGACCGTGGTAACTCGCCGTAGCATCGTATACGAAGGTGAAATTGACGAGTGAAGAGCCCCTGAGTTCCGGGTCTTGCGGAGCCTCGCAGACATATCGAGACTTCAACCCTGTGATCTCACATCTGCTTCGGGGCTCGGTGGCGATCCGGTAGGCGAGCTAGCGTGTTCCGGTATATCGCTCCGCTCGGTCTCCATCGCCACTGGCAGCTGAACTCTCGACCCTCCTAGCTCTGTATCGTATAAATAGGACGCCCGATTCATCGAGTTACGAGATAGGCGATTGCTTGCACGCGCCCTCCCCATAGCGATATTTCTGATAGCACCGCCAGTCGCTGCCGAGTCTATCGATAGTCGAACCTCCGCCCTGTTCCGAGCATACTGCTGCCATTCGTGCACAATACTGTACATCGAAAGAGGGCGCGAAGACTCAGATCCGCGGCGATCTCGATGTAAGGTATCGATCAGTAATTGGTGTGTGGTAGGAGCGATACTGATTCGTTCAACAACGGTTTCGGCGTCTGATAAATTCGCTTCGCTCATGCTCAGTGGACGATTATGGAAAGTCTGCGTACTTCCCCGAAAGACGTCCCAGTAGTCGTGAGTGCCAAAAGTGTTTCCAACGAAAGCCAAGGCAGAATGACGTCTGGTAAGTGGACGATGAGACAACAGCGAATCTTCCGAAAGGTTTGCCTGCGTTCCACTATTGATCATGACTGGGTCACTGATCGGAACAGTGGACACGGCATACTGTGTTCTGAAGTCTGTTAGTTGCCTGCGGCCCCATTCCCAACGCTCTTGTGGAGATAAAGCATGGATCGCCTCAAGGTCGAGATCTTGGAGCGAAACCAGCGCATTCGTTGCGGCAGCTGACCGGTCGCGGACATTAGGAGACTCCTGAGTTGATTCGCCTTGGAGGTCGACGTGAGTCTCTGTAGACTCAGCCAGGGATTCCGAGTTTTCCACGATGGGCGCTATACCAGCCGGTAAAGATCCCCCGACTTGGCGATGGCGATCTTGGTCGGAGCTACTCTCAGGGAACCTTGTAACTGGGGGACTGGGCTTTGATTTGCGTAGTCGTGCTGTAAGCCTCATACTGAGGCGAGAGAAGGCCTGCCGACCTTTGGACCAAGCGTTTTGGCGGAATGTCGCATACCTCTGGCCACCCGAGCGGATATGGCTGAGACCTGAAGCTTGTTCCCCATTACTGGATTCAACAGACACTGGCCCTGGGTGACTGCCGATGGATGCTGGGTGTTGCTGGGTGTCTCTCTGAGCGGTTGACCGTACAGATGTCTCCCGGGATGGACCGGCCGGTGTGCTTTCCGGTATGACGGTAAGAGTGGGAGATAGTGTGGCGATAGGAGTGGCAGACTGTATAGCCCGAACCAGAGTTTTGCGGAAATCAGCCTCAGCTGCAAGCGTCTCCGGCTCTAGACTCTTTGTAGAGAGAAGAGACAGGCGCGTGCCATTGAGTTTTCCGAAGGCCAACCACAATTTCTGGCATTTGTGGCAATACACATCACCGAATTCAGTAGAGTCGCCCGAAACCTGAACATGCACCTGTACAGATCTGTGGTGATGATGGCAGGTCGAACAGTTTCCACTGAGATTCAGTGCCCAACGGCCTTCGGATAATCGTGGGACACTTTCGACGGAGGAGATCGTGTCATGTCTGGTAAGCTCGACGACGGGTGCGGTTCCAGTAGTAAGTTCATCATTGGTGAACGATCCGTCTGTAATAATGTGGGCCCGAGAATCCATCTTTGGAAGAAATGTCCGGGTCGTTGTCAGGGCTAAGCGATGAACCGGCTTCCACGACTGTGTTGCCCAGAAGAGTTCTTCGCCTGATGCATAGGATGATCCGGTCAGACAAATACAGTGACCGAATTGAGTAGAGTCAGTATAGTGTGAGAGTGTATCCGTGGCTCAAGGTCGAATCAGTCTAGGGTAGGCTGTATGGATAAGTTGGATGAGGCTGTGAAGTGCTGTCTTTACAAATACACACGGGTGTAGCGGAGCTTTTAACAGCCAGGCATACATGTGGCTGCAAGGCAGCTACAGCCACAGATACTGTGTGCCTACTTCCAGGCACCATACATCCTGGCAAATGACTTGACGATGTGGGAAAAGTGTTGAGGTCGAACGGTGGCGCAGCACGCTTAGAGATGCTTCGCCTCATAACGAACCTATGGAGGTCGATAGAGTTGGGGCGGGAACTGCAAACTGTGACGTAGGAAACGTGTGAAATTCACCGAGAGAATACGGTGAGGTAGTCCCCATGATAGACAAAGAGCTTGCTAAAAGTGCTTCCAAAGGCCGTCCTGGATAAAATAAGCATCGAGACGATACCGAGCGCGACCTCTGGTACACGCGAAGTACGACACGAAGACGTACTACGCGGAGGACTGGATGCGATTGAACGTGCTAGCCTTGAATCACAGGCAGCACTCGTGATCGAGACATAGCTATCGTGCCTTCACTGTTAGGTCATGTCGTTGCTTTTTCCTGTTGTTCCGTAAGCATGCCCAAATGCGTGCGAAAGAGACGTGTGCATTGCCAGGCAGCGCGTCGCCTGCTCGCGCACACAGCCCCAAACTGTCCGCACTGGGACTGCATGGGTGACGACGGGAGAACTATGGCGGCAGGAGCGGTGAAGGAAGACGTCACACGCGAGTGCATTGACCGATAGTTTGCGAGATGAATTATATCGCGCGCGAGCGATGGGCGGCACGCAAAGCACACAAATTGCAAGAGCACAGCTCATGCGAGGAAGGGACTGAGTCGGTGTGAGCAGGTCGTCGTCTACTCTGCAGCCTCAAGCCCCATGGAATCCAGACGCACATGAACTCCAACAGCAAAATAGAATCCCAGGATGTCTCCCTCTGCTCACAATGCAGTTGGCGCCTCACTCTTCCCACATGGCCCCGGGGGGTAGACAGAGGAGCGGAGTGGTTTTGCCAGCGGAGGCCCAAAGCGGTTAGAACGCTCGCACGTGCCATTTCCCTTGGCAAGCCAACACTCGCAAGCGAGAACGATCGAAATTCCTCCCACTGTAAGAGCATCGACAACACCACATCGACGACGTACGACAAGCCGCCATCATGTGTGAGTATACCCGGATTCTATCGACTCATATCAGTTGTTGCGACCCTGGCTTTGATCGCGCCGAGTGTGCCTCACCCAGCGCGTGGAGTGGGGTCGCAATAATTGATGTTCAGACACTCGTAATAGAGGCATGCTGACAACTTTCCAGCGCTCGTCTCCGGAGAGAAGTCTAAGTACGTTCATACAAGAGCCTGCGATTCCCCGTTCAGCCCTCGGCTTCCTTCGCATCGAACCGCCTAGTCCTATGAGTCCACACGACCTCGCAGCCGCCTTCCAGTCCGACAGCACTCAGAAGCCAATGGGAGGGAATAGAGTAGACAATCGTACGCACCAGGCGTTGCAGAAAGATGAAGGGAACTATCTGTGCAAGGGGAAGCTTTGTTGTGCTGTTCGGGCTGGAGTGGCCAATTGCGATGGCTGATGGTTTTCGGATTGCGGAGGTCTACGCATAGAGGCGGCGCACAAACGCAGGCACATTCGCACAATGAGAGCAGTGCTGACTTTACCAGCTTCCAATACATCATCCGTTTGTTGAACACGAACGTCGATGGCAAGCAGAAGGTCATGTACGCCTTGACCAAGATCACGGGTGTCGGTCGCCGATACTCCAACTTGGTCTGCAAGAAGGCCGATGTCGATCTGTCCAAGCGCGCTGGTGACCTCACCTCCGAAGAGCTTGAGCGTATCGTTACCATCATCCAGAACCCCCTCCAGTGTACGCCACGACCATCTCTCTAACATGGATAATGACGCTGACACCCTGCAGACAAGATCCCCGCCTGGTTCCTCAACAGGCAGCGCGATATTGTCGATGGCAAGAACAGCCAGGTCCTCGCCAACGGTGTCGCCTCCAAGCTCCGTGATGATCTCGAGCGCTTGAAGAAGATCCGCGCTCACCGTGGTCTCCGTCACTACTGGGGCCTCCGTGTCCGTGGTCAGCACTCAAAGACCACCGGTCGTCGCGGCCGAACCGTCGGTGTCTCCAAGAAGAAGGGTTAAAGGTTTTCGCATGCGCTGGGCAGCTGGGGCTGGAACATGCCTTTACGAAATGGGTGGTGCACTTACGGTGTTTATCAAACGGCTTTCATTGGCTTTCACACTTACACTTCATGCG